TATTAAATTCTGAAATCCAGTTTTCATTAATATGTATATTGTGCTCACGATACAGAGAGGTATTCACTAAGAACTGCAAAGCTTCCATAATCTTTGCGGGGCGTATGGTATCGATCATGTAATCATGATTGTATTCCATTATTTGCAAGTAGCACAAAAATTGTAATTTCCATCTTCTGAAGGAAGCATTAAAAAGAAGGCGGATGCAGCATTCGGGTGACCTTGCGCAATATTTTCGAAATTTAATTTGCGAACTTGGTGTGAAAACCATAAGCTGTCGCAGCAAATACATGTTTCAGTAGGGCCGTATTTATATTTTGGAAATAAATGTTTTTGAAATCTGTTAAATTGCCAGTATTATCAGTTTCTATAACATTATTTTCTCTCGTTAATCTGATTCGTTGGGACTGCCTTTGGTTTTCAATTTGCCTATTGAGTAGGTTATCCTACGAAGGCGAACTTGACCTTGTCTAAGACGTCACTGATTCAAAATTTCTTTCCCCATACCCCTCCTACTAAGCGTTGTGTTTCTCTATCACGCTCCTCTCTCCTTATTTCAGGATTTCTTTTTGCATGTTTCCTTTGCATTTGCGAAGTTCTCTATGATCCCTAGTGTTCCTACTTTGTTCATCATAACGTACCTAGGGATTTTATCGACGAGATCTATGATCTCGAGTATTTCTTATTTGCTCTTTAGAGCGAATTTGAGGATCTTGCCATCTTCTATGTTGAACAGTATTTAAAACTTGCTCAACATATCGTATCTCGGGATTTTCGCGCCGAAATCTATGCCCCCGAGTATTTCTTCTTTGCTCTTCAGAGCGGATTTGGGGATTTAGACGTCTTGCCCTATGATGAACAGTATTTAAATTTTGTTCAAAAGACCGTACCTCGAGATTTTCCCGCCTGTTTCTATGTTAATTTGTATTGATAATTTGTTCGGGTAGACGAATATCGGAATCTAACCTACGATTAGTGTGACTTACAGTATTTTGTGACTGCTCACTATCTCTATATAAAACGAAGAACTCTCATACGTCTTCTATTCTGAAGACGACTTAGTAATACAGATTTTCTACTTAATCTAGGCATAATTAATTAATAATAAATGAATTAATGTATAAAATACTTATAGATAATACTTATATAATTCAGTCCGTCCTGGTGTGAAAAGTTGGATCCTAGGTGCTGCTCTCTTTCACTGTAATTCCTTGTTATGACTCCTTTTCTGTTCGGTGCATAGGTACTATGGTATACTGATGCCCATATGTATATGTGTTTGCTCACCACTGTATATAATAATACTTTAAACACTGTATAACTAATACACTAAAATTAGTTTGAATAAAGCACTTTACTGGTAAAGAAATCTAGTGTAACTGAAACTACAAACACAGTGTACTGATATTTATAATACTTTGCATCATATTGCTACAGAGTAGAATAGTTTTGTGATGGTATATTTTTGTACACACAGCTTACGTGCTTTTGTATAACTATATATTACTTTTATATTCACTAACATAAAATACATAATATTTAGTTATATTTATATTTTAGAATTTAGTAACTACTAATTCATTATATTGAAGTTAAGTACTCGGAAAACCCCTCCTTAAATTGCTTTTGTCTAACACTTTTAAAACAGTACCTATTTTGAAGGGTCTGCCCATTAAGGCTAAATTAACAATAACTTACATATAATTAAGTATGGTATACACATATGTAGAGCAGGTATGTAGATTTTCTTCTTTCTGTCTTAATATCTAAACCTTTCATAAGCTGCCAACGGCTAAGGGTAAAAATGTAATTTTCTTGAGTTTACAGTTCACCTCATGACCTTCATATTACAATGTGATGTAAAACTGAAATAATAGACAGTAGCATTTAAACCGATGGGGTCGCAGTTTATCTATAACCACATAAAAAGGGTCTTTAGCCCTTTTCATACTACACTACTAATATTTATTTCATGCGATTTTTTCCACAAAGATATTTTTGCTCTATACAAAGGCCAACACTCTAAGAAACTTTTTTACATTGTTGTCTGGTATATTATGTTACAAGTTCAACATGAAGGCTGAGAAAATATACCTATCCACTGATTATCACCAAATATTAGAAGAAATATGTGTATATAGAAATCTATAGCTATCTCGATTGGTTTTAGGTGATGCAAACAACCGTTTGGTGAACAAAACTATACTCTGTTGCAACATGTTGCTAAAGTATAAAAATGTTGCGAAAGAATTCAACATTCATTATTCGATTATTATTTGGCATCTAATTAACTTATATTATTAATCATAGATTTATTTAGTGTCAATACAATTTTTTTTCTTCGAAATGTTAACTTTAACAAAAGGAAGCTATTTAACTCAAACATGCTATATGCGATATAAACTGAACCAAAGGGGTTAAATTTAATATGTGGGGTATATGAGGTTGCTGTTGTACCAAACGAGCGGAAATCAGTATATTACGGTTATAAGGTTAAAACAAAGGTCTAGACCGATTTCATGCATATGCAGCGATATACCACGTTATTTTTAAGAAAAACTGTCCATTTAAATTCATAAAATTATCAAATTAACGAAAAAAATTATACCATAAGTAGTATATGTGAGCTGGAAAATTCGTGGACCAATTTCGCCAAACGGAAGTTTTAATTTTTTACATAAAATAATTTAAAATTTTTAAACAAAAAAAAATTTAAATACAAACAAATTTGGTATCTTCTTGACTTATATAAAAGGCCATAAACTTAGTCTCAGTTTTATTGCTTGAAGTGAGATATACATAAGTATGGATGTGATATTAACTCTACCAAAGTGGCTAAATTTCATATTATAAGCTTATGTGGCAAACGTCTACCAGCGAATTGGAATTCATTATATGAAGGTGTGAGGTTTAGACCAAGGTATATACTAATTTCATTCTAATTCAGCGTCAAACCACATAATTTTTACTAAATCTTATCCACTTAATTTCGTTAAAATATCACATTTTGATCAACCGGAACGGTTTAAAGTCAGGTGGAAAGACGGAAATCATATATATATTGGGGATAGAGAAAGATATTAATTTTGACATTACTCAGCTATACTCGAGAACATATTTTGAAGCAATTGTATATATAAAAAAATATTAATACTCACTGACCGACATATTCGGCATAAAACTGGTTAGAATAACGAAAAGCAATATAAGTAGTATATGGAAGTTGAGGATAGTACGAGTATTAACCCGATTTTATCAATTTTTGCCAATACCACATACTATTAACATGCCACAGACTAATAAAATGCTCCCACTGTTTCATTAAGGCACCTCACATACCATCACTAATCATATGGAGTAATGTCAGACAATTGTTCGAAAATCCTGATATTAGTTACATGGGGGCTGGTAAAAGTTTCACCCGATTTAATCCATTTTAGACACAAAGATACCTTGTTATGAGCAAAACACGCTCTCTCATTTTCATTGAGATAATTCACATACTGGCCGATATACGCGGTATAAAGTCACCCGGAAGTTCAGAAATCTTTATATTAGGTATATGAGGGCTATGGGAAGTATTGATCAGATTGAACCCATTTTTGACACAAAAACATACCATTATCGAGAATTTTATTATATGAATTTCAATTATATATCGGACGTCCGTCCGTCCGTGCAAGCTCTAACTTGAGTAAAAATTGAGATATCTTTATGGAACTTGGTAGACATGTTTCCTGGTACCGAGAGACGGGTGGTATTGCAGATGGGCGTAATCGGACCACTGCCACGCCCACAAAACGCCATTAATTAAAAACAAATAAATTGCCATAACTAAGCTCGGCAATAAGACACAAGACTGTTATTTGGTACATCACATTAGGGATGGGCATCTGCAGTTAAATTTTTTTTAAGTGGGCGTGGTCCCACCCCTAATAGGTTTAGTGTGCATATCTCCTAAGCCGCTAACGCTATAATAACAAAATTCACTGGAAGCAAATGTTTTTAGAACCTTTACCTACAGTGTGAATATAGTTGAAATCTGGTGGCAACTCCGCCCACTCCCCATATAACGGTACTGTTAAAAACTACTAAAAGCGCGATAAATCAAGCACGAAAAACGCTAGAGACATTAAATTAAATCTCTGGGATGGTATGCGATGACTTTATAGGAACCGCGTTCAAAATTAGACAGTGGGCGTGGCACAGCCCACTTTTAGGTGAAAACCCATATCTTGGGATCTGCTTAACCAATTTCAACCAAATTCGGTGCATAACGTTACTTTCATATTTTTATGTTATATTCCGAAAATGGGCGAAATCGGACTACAACCACGCCTATTTCCCATATAACACCATTTTCAATTCTATCTGATTCTTTCACTTTCCACTATGCATATCAAGCAACAATGATTATATCGGGGTAAAACTTTGCGTGAATAATACGTTTAAAGTATGCCACCTTGTGACCAAAAATTGTCTAAATTGAACCAAAATTGTTCAAGCCCCTGAGTACTAAATATGTGGACCCCAGTGCCTAAAGTTGACCTTCTACCGAAAATATTAGTCAATCCACAAAGAAATCTCAAACGAGTATACCATTTGACTTTGCGAGAGTATAAAATGTTCGGTTACATCCGAACTTAGCTCTTCCTTACTTGTTTCCGATAAATTGGATTTTGTAGTGGTTATCTCTAAATCCCTTGGGAATAGCTTAAGGTAAACCAAACCACCCTTGGATGATCAAAACTGATACACTGAACAAATATATTTTTTTTATGATTCAATTGGTTGTTGCTAAAACCATTAGTTCATAATAATACAAGGTAAAATAAAAGGAAACTTATTTTGAAACTTTGGCAGAACACGAACTTTATTTGCAATAATAAGATATTTGTTCACAAATGTATGTATTTTTTCAAAAAGTTTACTGATTTTTGCAGGGATAATTTTAGTTTTAGCAGGTATAATCACTTAGTTCATCATTTTCATTTATATAGGCACTATGGGAATACTCATGGAAAATCTAAAACTTTGACCTCGGGTGATTTAACGTCTTTCATGTACCAAGTAGCCAAAGGTATGGATTTCCTAACTTCTCGAGGGGTAAGTACATAATGTATGTATAAATAAGTTATAAAAAGAACAACATCATTCTTAAGATTACATGATCACCTATTTCCCTATATACATACATATTAGCTGACAAATTTGACAATAGAATAGAAGAACGGGACGAAAATTTTAAACTTAGGTATATGTAAGCCAGAAAACGGATGTAATTAATTTTTGACGTCAATCCACATTGTGATCGAGAAGACATGTCCACTACATATAATTAAATTAAAACAGGAGGTCGAAAAAATATTTCCATCCAATTTTATTGAGGTAATTAACACATTTACCGATATATTCTCCATAAAGCCAACTACCATAATCTAATATATGTAGTATATAGGATCTGGGCTAACTCATTAATTTTTCTATTAATTAAATTTCTTATGAAATGTATCGAAATAAAGGTAGGTTGGTTGGCTTGTTGAGCAAGTCAGGGATTGATTCCACCGCGAAGCAATATTGTTTATAACACATTTGTCGATTAAATAACTGCAGTAGCCAGAGGCATATAAATTCTTACGTCTCCCGAGTCTAATTGTAGGGTGGTGTCTGTTCCGGCTAAATGAGCTAGCTTCACAGTTTCCAGGTATATCACTATGTTCTGAAATCCATTAAAGGTTTATCGTGAAATAGGATTTTAGATCCCCTAAAAGATCAAGGCATCCTTCACTAACTTAGACGAAACCCTAAGACACTTTAGTGGGATATCTGTATATATAAATATATTCCTTGTTGTGAGCATACTCCTTGTCAGAACAAGAAGACTTTCAGCCGCGCGATACTTCCCACCGATTTATACCATTTAGTATTGTTTGTATAAGGAAAGCGAGGGTATTCAGAAATTCACCTCTAACCGAAACTGCCACTGTCAGTGTAGGCCACAACATGTACCTTCTTCTTTTCCAGATTCACCAACATTTTGTTCATTGTTAAGATCCAGAGAAGTGGAGATAACACGTCTCCTTGAGGTGTACCCCTTCCGACAGATCTGCACATCCTTTAAGTGCGCTCAGTATGGCCTTAGCTGCATGTTGCGTATTCAGAGGCACGAAAAATTAGAATTTTCAGTAATTTTTTTTTGCTATGAAATCATGTTATTTTACAAAAGTAGTAATATGGCATTATTATACAATGTTTTGACCTGAAGTTACAAAAATTTCCAAAAAAAAAAACGTTTTTTCCAAAGTTTTAGCTGTCTGTGTTGACCCAGTTTCAAAGAAAAGGTCCTTTCGGTGACAATTATAAGTCCTTGCAGCCTCAGGAAATTTTTTTTCTAGATTTTTGGAAAAAACAATTGGTCTTAAAAAATCGAAATTTTTGAAAAAAAATCCTTCGATCAGACCCGGGTTTATTATGTATTCTAAAAGCTGTATAAATTTTATTAAAATCGACTGAGCGGTTTTCGAGTCACCAGTTCGAAAAACATAGTTTTGAGAAAAACGCATTTAAAGTTTCTTGCAGCTGCCGCTAGCTACCTGTTTTCGAGCGCTCTTTGTTATTTGTCGTGTAACTAAAAAGTAATTATCCGATCAACTTGAAATTTTCAGAGAATATTTTCAAGATATTACACTTAACGCAAATGCATAAAAAAACGAATTGATTTATTGAAAATTTTCTTAAAAGCGCATTCTATGCTAGGAAAGTTACGAGAGTGTGTTTTTTTACTTTCAGGTACTTTTTAATCTCTGCTAGCAATGAGCTTGGTGCTGTTTCTGTCGATTTTCTCTTAGAATACGCATGCTGCGAAACTGCCATTTTTTCTGGGTTTAGGTTGCTTCTTATGTGTGATTCGATTAGCCTTTCCAACGTTTTTAAAAGAAATGATGGAAGATTAATTGGTCTGAAATCGTTTGGATTAGTGTGTGAGCTTTTGCCCGTCTTTGGTATATATGTATATCATCTCGACTTTCTTCCATAAAGTGAGAATATAGTTTAATTACAATGTTCTTTAAGCATGGTTGTAACCCAAGTCATTATGTAGATATGGGACCGCTGTAACTAAGCAGGGAATAGGGATTGAAACTGTCTCTGGCCCAATATACATTACTATCTCACATGAAGTAAACTTTTGCACGAATAGTGCGTATAATAATTCTCCCATATAAAATTGGTCAGAGTGAGACTGAATTTTTTCAAACCCCTAGATACTGAACATAACGACCGAACCCTGCTCCAATATAACCAAAATGATGATTTTGAACATTTCGGTTAAGTATACATTGTTCATATTGGTTATCATATTCGATGTTGTATAAAAATTAAGTATACATAATTTTTTAACTATAATGTATGTTAGCTAAGAACGTCAGGCTACATATAATAGATAATATTAATGCCGACATTCCCCTAATGTAATGACTTTCATTTATCTGGTTGAAATCATGTACTCAAGATTAATATCGTTCCTTTGGCTGAGTTTTTATCGCATATATGTATAATGTATACAACAACTTAGTAAAATTCAACGAGAATACGATACTAGCACATACCCTCCCACAGCACTATTCGATTTGCGTGAGTTTAGTTAATGCAGATATAAATATCACAGGGCATATAATAAAATGTAGTAGTAAAACTGTGTAAAGTTAATAAGATACCAAATATGCATGTTTGTAACGCATTCACAATTTCGTCAAATAACGAGTATTAAACTCATATGCAACATTTTTATATATTTGTTCCCCTAACAGTTGTCTGTAACATTTAAATGTTCAGAAAAACGAAACGAGTGAAATTCCGGGTGACTGTCTGTCCGCCTTCCCGTCCGTACAACGACCGGTGTGTTTTACGTGAGTACCTGCCGTCGACGGCCTTACCTCACGGTGCTCCAAAGCACAACGTATCAAAACAATGCGTTGATAAGCGCCCCAAATAATACGAGCTATTTGCAAGTATTAATTTGATTACCAGTGGCCAGTGTGTAGGGGCACACTGACCATCTTGGTAAGATTCGAGGCCGACCTAAAACCTCTTCCGTTTTCGGTTACGGAACCCAGTTGCTTGTGCAACTTATTTTTTCGAACTGAAATTCAGTTCTTCCAGCATTTAGGTTTAAACCACAGCCACCACGATACTCCCCAAAGGGCCGAACCCAATGATCAGATTGAACCGAATACCAAGGGCATTCTGCTCCCCGTAATACCAGAGTTGAGTCTCCGGTCAGGCTGTGTAGCCGAAGCTACTGCCAGTTGAGCCTCGCCTTACTCAATAACTCGTGACATTTGTCGCTTGAACTTCAAATGTCTTTTTATTTCGAATCTCATTTAAAGTCTATAATATCATTTCAAGCTGAGTATTATAGCACTATTTCTGACATCATTTACTATGCTGATTTTTCTGGGAAAAATAAAATAACAGTCATAGTGCATTTGGCTTTTAGTCGCCTTTTACGACAGGCATGCTTTACCGCGGGTAAATTCTTACCCCTACCAGCAGGGGGATCCCCGTCCGTACAGTCGATAGCTTATATATCTTGATGAAACTCTGTTCACGTGTTCCTTTGCACTTTGGTCGTTGTGGTAGATGGGCGGAATCAGAAGACTTTCACGCCCACAAATGTCGTTAATCGGAAACATATAATATGTCCGCATATTATGAAACACAACTGAAATTGGGTACACTGAAACGCAGTAGGTAGGGGCATCTGTGGTTTGAAAATGTTTAAAAAATAGGTGCTGTCTCGCCACTAATAGGTTTATTATACCTATCTCACAAATCGCTAAAGCTATTTCAACCAAATTTTTCTCAGCACAAATCACAACTGATGTGAAAATGTATGAAACCGAATATTATCTTGATGTTTCTATGTTAGGCTGTGTTAACGGGTTAAATCGGACTACTACCACGACAACTTAAAACTTTCAACAAATAATAGCTTTGAGGTATGTTATCTCACGTCTACAACTTGTCGAAATCGATACGGCTGACTTTTTACCGAAAATATCGTCCTACCTTTGAGCTATGTTATTAAATTCAAAGGGCATAATTTCCTTGCTATTGTGCTCTTGTATGAAAAATATGTAAGATCGGAGGAATACCTCCCTTAGCCCCATAGACCTAATATAGGTAGGTAGGTAGGTAGGTAAAGTGGCTGTCACTCGACACACTTAGGCCTTTAGGAGGCCCATTGTGATACCACTGGGACTGTGATCCCCTCACTCTATTGGCTCCTCTCTGAACCACCCCGTACTTCTGATGAACTTCATCAGTGAGACAAGTTTTATCTGTGCAACCTCCGAGACGTCGTCAAGAAACCCACGGCCGATGGTTGCGATTCTTTTCCTATATAGTGCTGCGCAATCGCAAAGAAGATGTTTAATGGTCTCCTCCTCTTCTACTTCCTGACAGCTTCTACAATAGTCGTTATGTGGCGTGCCAAGTCTACTTGCATGTCTGCCTATTAGACAGTGGCCTGTTAGTACTCCTACGAGAGTTCTTATATCATTCCTCTTGAATTTTAACAGTCGGCATGTGCGGCTCATATTCCATTCTTGCCACGTTTGTCTGCTAGTTGAGCAGGTCAGGGATCGATTCCACTGACACTCGGCTATATTAATGACATGTTTGTCGATTAGGTATCTACAAGTAGCCAGAGGCATATTTATGTCCTCCTTTCCAGGATCTAGTTGTAGGGTGGTGCCTGCTCTGGCTAGTTCATCTGCTACGCAGTTCCCAGGGATGTCACCGTGTCCTGGGACCCATTGCAGATTTACAGTGAAATAGGATGACAGATCCGCTAGAAGATCATGGCAATCTTTCACTGTCTTCGACGAAATCCTATGAGACAACAGAGATTTCAAATCCGGCTGGCTGTCTGTATATATAAATACCCTTCTTGTTGTGATTACATTTTTTGTTAGTGCAAGAAGGCTTTCTTTAATTGCAGTGACCTCTGCTTGGAAGACACTGCAGTGGTCTGGTAACCGGCGAAGGCGATTTTGGTATCTAGTTTATCCGAGAAGACACCGCCGCCTACTCGGTTATCCAATTTTGAACCATCCGTATAGAAGCTTATCCCTGCTTCCTTGTCCACATCGTCCCTTTCCCACTCCTCTCAGCTCCATAGGATTACAAAAATCCGTAGTTATGGGAAGAAACAGGAATTTTCTAAGTATCATAGGTTGCCTCTTGTTGCGACTAGTAGGGAGGATTCACACAGTCTTAGAGCTGACTTCGCTGCCATTTGCTTGCAATACAGATCTGTTGACAGCAAGTGTAAAATTATGTTAAGTGCCTGGCTTGGCGTAGTTCTGAGAGCTCCACTGATGCAAATACTAGCTGCTCTTCCATGCTTCTAATCGCATATTTCTTTCTGTAATTGGCCACCATACTACTATACCGTAGGTCATGATCGGCCTTACAATTGCTGTGTACAGCCAGTGAGCCACCCGAGGTGTCAGTCCCCACCTGGGCCCCACCATTCTTTTACATGTGTAAAGCGCTGTAGCTGCTTTCTTTACCCTCGCTTCCAAGTTTTGTTTCCAAGAAGGCTTCCTGTCCAAAATTAGTCCCAAGTAGCTTGCTTTATCTCCTACCGTTAGCCTGGTGCCATTTAAAAATGGCGGCGTGATTTCTGGAGTACTGTGTTTCTTAGTGAACAATACTAGTTCTGTCTTGCTAGCATTTAAATTCAGTCCGCATGATACGGCCCATCCATTAATATCGTTTAATATTGTCTGCATAAGGCTAGCGAGGGTGTTCGGGAACTTGCCCCTAACCGATACTGCCACATCATCAGCGTAGGCCACAACATGTACCCCCTTCTTTTCTAGATCCACTATTTTATTCATTGTCAGGATCCAGAGAAGTGGGGATAACACGCCTCCTTGGTGTGTACCCCTTCGGACAGATCTGAGCATCGTTGAAGCTCCCAGCGTTGAAATAATTGACCTGCCCAAGAGCATCTGTTCAATTAATTTCCGGAGAGGCTCAGATATGCCCAGATCTTTAAGCGCGCTCAATATGGCCTTCGGCTGGATGTTGTTGAAGGCACCTTCTATGTCTAGGAAGGCTACGAGGGTGTATTCTTTTATTTCCAGAAACTTTTCAATCTCTGCTCCTACTGAGCTTAATGCCGTTTCTGTGGATCTACCCTTCGAGTACGCATGCTGCGAAACTGCCATTTTTCTTGGGTTTAGTATGTCCTTTATATTTGTATATTGTATTTCTATTAGTCTCTCCAGCGTTTTTAAAAGAAATGATGAAAGGCTAATTGGTCTAAAATCCTTTGGATTAATGTGCGAGCTTTTGCCAGCCTTTGGTATATATATATTGGTATGTTATCACCTTAACTTCCCTCCATATCGAGGGAATATAGTTTAATTTCAGTGCCCCCCTAAGCAGGGTTGTTAACCAGTTTATTGTGTAGCTCAGGGACTGCTGTAACTGAGCCGGGAATAAACCGTCTGGTCCCGGCGTTTTATAAGGCTTGAGCTGCCTATTGCCCAATAAACATTGCCATCTGACACTATGTCTAGCGGAGGGGACTCTGAGCTTACTTCACTCTCCATTATATGGTCCCCTATGAGGTTCTCGGAACTGCCTGGGAAGTGAGTATCCATTAGTAGGCCCAGAGTCTCTTTACTGGATACCGTCCAGCTGTGATCTGGCTTCTGAAGGTATAAGGATGCTATGTTTCGATTGTGTCATTATCTTTCTCAGCCGAGACACTTCTGCCGTATTTTCGATGTCATTACAAAAAGATTTCCACGAATTTCTTTTTGCTTTTCTTACCTCCTTTTTGTATATCCGAAGGTAGTTATGATAGTTATCCCACTCTATATCGTCTCGGGATAATTTGGCAAAATTGAATTGCTTCCTGCAATTTTTCTGCATGTTCTTAAGTATTGGAGACCACCAAGGAGGTCTAATTCTTCCCCTTTCTAGGTCCTCTTTCTTTTCCGGTTGAAATGGTGGAATCATAGGAATACGCTTTTTTAGCTCCTGAATGTGCATCTGCCAGTTCGTTTTCCTATGATTCCTAAATTTCTCTTCCCTAACTACATTTTCTTCAATTATACACTCAATGTAGCGATCTGAGAAGGAGTGTTCCACCAGTTCTTCCGATACCAGTGTTATATATGGTTATTTCTGGTTATTAATGTTGGCGTACTACCTTTGTTACATAACAAAAGCTTACTTCCTATTACATAATTAAAGAGCAACTCACCCCTTTCATTAATATCCGGGCTTCCCCATAGTGTATGGTGCGCATTGGAGTCGCACCCAAGTATAACCGAACACTTGGATGCTTCGGTGTCTCGTACCAGCTTTTTGAACAGCTGCGATGGTACTGCTACCTCGTCGTACGGCATATAGCATGATGCCAGCCGGTATTTCTTCTTACCCGTCTCCCAGCTTACCACTGTAGTGTCGTTACTACTGTAACTGTTTAATAAAAAGACCTTAAACTTTTTGCTAGCCAATATACATGTCCTAGGCTTACCTACACAACTATTCGCGTATAGATTATATCCTGGTGTCAGACCGCAAATACGCCCTCCATTAACCCATGGCTCCTGAATGAGGACAAAGTCAGGCCGTTCTTCTGCTATGCGGTTAACTAGGGCTAGAGACGCTAGTTTGCTGTGGTGTAGATTAATTTGGAGAAGACGCATTAGTTATTGTCTTCTCTGCAGGATCATGAGAGTCGCTTAAAAGCTCACTCTCAGTGTAAAGTTTAGAGAGTCTGTCCGCAAGCTCAGACCCCGAAGTACACTAGACCTAATATAAAAACTTTCGAACGTCCGGTTGTGTTATACAGGTCAATATATGAGTTATCCTAACGAAATGCAGAGAGCATCTTTATGTAGTTATATCATGTCCTGATGCCGATAATGGATAAAATAGGGACAATACGAGAGTAAAAAAGTTTCGGTTATACCCAAACTTGTTTAGTATGAAGTTTTAACATACCAACACCTAAAAGTATTTCCCCGCCTTTGATTTTTGCAAATAGCGAGAGTATAAAATGTTCGATTACACGCGAGTTTGTATTTATGTACATATATATAATATAATTATATAATATATTATATTCACTTTTTTACCTATATATGATTGAAAGTAATGTTTATTTTTTTCTTTATTTAGATAATTCACAGAGATTTAGCAGCAAGGAATATTCTGATTACTGATGAACACACTTGTAAAGTTGCAGATTTTGGATTTGCTCGTGACGTTGTAACATCAAAAATTTATGAAAGAAAAAGTGAAGGAAAACTCCCAATACGGTAAATAAAAAATAATAATAATAGTAATTAAGATAATTTCAATTGAGAGCAGAAAATTATAAGAATGACGAAATGAATGAATAATTTCCTTTCATCCGCCCGTCCATACCTACATCCATACAAGCGATAACTGAGAAAAATTTAGATATCTTAGTAAAACTTTGTACACGAACTACATCACTTTCTAAGGAGATATTGTGCATGAGTCAAATCAGAGAATTGTTATGCCATAGAACTCTTTGAACGGGAAAAGATTAAGTGCTACACCTCTGGTATTATTAAGGCAACAAAACTCGAAAGTATAGATTAGGGACGGACTTGGGTGGTTTAAAACGGTTTTGAAATTTGTTCACATCCTCACCCTCTAATATGTTTAATGTAAAAATCACATAAGGTATTAAATCTGCGAGCAAAGAATACATCTCTTTTCCACTTAATTAGATGATAATTTATTTTATTACATATTCAAATTAAAATTTATTATTGAAAAAACGAGTTTCCTCATATACGTATAAGCAGTAATTTTTAAGTTATCGGATCGTCTAAATTAGCCTACATTGAAACTGTTCCACAATGCAAAACACAGTACTGTAGTTTTGTTCACTAAGTTAGAACTGAGTTCGTATAGATCGATTAAGAAGTTTTTATACTTTTGCAATATGTTGCTAGATAGTTTTGTTCACCTAACGATTGTTTGTATCACCTAAAACTTATGGAGATATGGATATACGCATTATAAATGACTGTCCGTCTGTTTGCGCAAGCTGTAACTTGAGTAAAAAGTGAGATATCTTAATGAAACTTTGTACACGTGTTTCTTGGTCAAATAGGGAGAATGGTAATGTAGATGGGTGTAATCGGACCAATACCGCGCCTACAAACCGCCATTAATCGAAGACTTACAAATTGCCATAACAATCCGCAAAATAAGCTACAAAACTAAAATTTAGTACAACGAACCAAACTAAGGAGGGGCACCCGTGGTTTGATAATCCTTAACAATTGTCTAAAGCGGGCCATAACTATTCAAGCCTCCTATACTTCGACTTTTTACCGAAAATACAAGTATCGTTCAATGTATAAGATATATTATATAATTTAAATTCGGAAAGAATAATAATAGGTCCGCAACTAAGTTTTCGCTGTTTTTTTTTAAGATTGTGAAGAAATGGTTACAAATTAATTATTCGAAGTATTGCCCATGGTTAGTCACAACGTTTTCTTATCTTTCTGGTAAAGCGCGAATACCATTACGGTAAAACTGTTCATCTTGTGATGCTACGCAAGAATCAAGCCATTTTTCGATGTCTTTTTGTGAGTGTAACTGCTTCTGAGCCCAACCATGTGGCATCAAACGAAACAAATAATAATCGGACGGTGCAATATCTGAGGAATATTGCGAGTGGGGTACGACTTTCCATTTAAGCGTTTCCAGATAGGCTTAAACGGGTTTAGCAACGTGAGGCCGAGCGTTGTCAAACCACAGAATCAATTTTTATTTGTTTTTTTTTTTCCAGCGAGTGATTCCCAATATTCAAGCAAGCTCTTTTTGCGTTTGACACTGGTCCTAATCGAGCAACGTCTCCAATTCACCGTCTTCGAAGGTTTTTGACCTTTCTTAGCACGGATCGTCGCTAGTATCAAAAGCACCGTTCTTGAAGCCACGAAACCAATGACGGCACGTTATTTCACCTGTTAGAAAAGGCTTGTGGTGAATCTATTAAATCGAAAACCCACGTCTTTGACGAGTACAAATCCTTTAAGGATGGTCGAGAAACATGCCACTGGTCGTCCGTTTCGACTCGATTGAGGCTGTAAAAGAAATTTCGCACAGGAAACTGAAGGCGATCCCGTACAACGCCTATAAGGCATGTTACGATGATTGGAAACAGAGGTTGCATATGTTTATCGCTTCAGAAGGAGCATATTTTGAAAGCTATATTGATGACGATTAAAAATTTTTCGTTTTATTTTCAATTTCCGGAAAATTTCTGCTCTTAATGTATTTATATCAAAAATGGAATTGAATAGGATCAAAACTTCCCTTAGCCTCCAAATACCTAATAGAAAGATTTTCGAACTTCCGGCTTACTTTATACCGCATATATTGGCCAATAAGTGAGTATTATAATAAAATTGAGTGCGCGTGTTTTTGTAATAACATTGTTTCCTTGTGCCTAAAATGGATAGAATCTTTTTCTTTTTACTCCCTATGTATTGGTGATGGTATGTGAGGTACCTTACTGGAAAATTGGAAACCTTATAGAAGATTTTTAAACTTCCGATTGGCTTTATACAGTAAATATCAATATGTAAGATATCTAAGAAAAATTAACTGAGGGTATAATATTGAATATATTGTACAATAGTTCAATGTCGAAAATAAATGAAGTTATATTATACCACATATGTATAATGATTTTCGTTATTCTAACAAACCGTATGCTTAATCTGTCGGTCAGGGTGTGAGTTATTAATTTATAAAATTGCTTTCCTCAGCTTCCAATGTACCCTGTATAGTGATCTCCGACTTTCCAGCTGACTTCAAACAGTTTTGGTTGTTTAAAATATGTGATATATTAATGCAATTAAGTGGACAAGTGTTTTTAAAATTTTTAAAAATTATTTTAATGGTTTAGAGCTGCATATGAATAAAGTTGGTCTAGACCTTGGTCTTAATCTCATATCCCTAATATCATCATTTCCGATCTTCTGGTTAATGTTTTGCACATCAATTCAATATATTTAATTTTGCCTCTTCGGTTAAGTTTATGTCAGATATATCTCATTTGAGGATGATTTTGAATAATTTTCGCGAAGTTAAATATGGCAATGAAACGATTACAAATAAAAAATCGTCGAATAATGAATGTTGAATTCTTTCGCAACAATTTTATACACTTGGAACATGTTGCTGCAGAGTATAATATTGTAGTTTTGTTCACCTAACGGTTGTTTGTTTCACCTAAAACTTATCGAGATAGATATATGTTTATACATATATAAATGATCATGATGACGAGACGAATTGAAATACGAATGTCGGTCTGTCCGTTCGTCCGTCCGTTTATCTGTGCTAGCTGTAACTTAAATAAAATTTGGGGTATCTTTATAAAGCTTGGTACACATATTTCTTGGTACCGTAAGAAGGTTGGTATTAAGGACGAGCGTAATTGGACCTCTGCCACGCCCACAAAACGCAAATAATCAGAAACCTATAAAATGCCATTACTAAGCTCCAGAATAAAATGTAGGACGGTTTTTTGATAGAACGAATCGCATTAGGAATGGGCATCTGCGGTTTCACAAATTTTGAAAAAACGGGCGTGGTTATGTTATATGTATATATATAGATATTTCATCTAAGCCATTCAAGCTATAACACCCAAATTTCCACAGGAAAAATCCTTTCGACACCTCGTGCGGCAGTGTGAAAATATGTAGGTGAAATCGGATGATAACCCCGCCTACTCCCTATCTAACGGTTACGTTAAAAGCTTCGAAAATTGCGATTAATATATATAACTTAATGCCTCAGAGACAACAAATTTTACATCCGGGAGGCTACAAAATCCGGGAGCCGGTGTCAAAATTTGGGGATGGGTGTGGCACCTCCGGACCTACTGGGCGAAATCTGACTAACACTACGCCTACTTTCCACAAAATTAAATTTTAAATTTCAACTGATTTTTTCACTTTTCAGTATATATAAATACATCGGGATATAACTTTGAACAAATAGTGCCTCTAAGACATGATCGCGTCTACAAAATTTTTTTAGTCCGACCAAAACTATTTAAACCCCCACATGCCGAATATATGGACCAAAGTGCGTATGATTAGTCCTTTACCGAAAATATCGGTCAATCTGTAAGATATATTATTAAAATTTGGGGAAAATGGTTTTTTCATAATAATACTCTTGTGCCGAAAATGGGGTGCATCGGGTTAATACTTTCCTTAGCCCGCATTTACCTAATATAACGGTTTTCGAACTTCCTGTTGACTTTATACAACATATATCGGCCAATGCGTGAGTTACTTTAATGAAATTGAGAGAGCATGTTTTTCTAATAGCAGTTTATCTTTGTACCTCAAATACGAAAATTCGCCTTAGCCTCTACATAATTGATATTCAAGAATTTGAAACGTCCGGCTGACTTTACTCCATATATATGTTTATATTTATATATTTGTAAAATTACTTGCTTAAATTTCATTCCATTCACGAACAATGAAGTTGAACCCTTTCGCTATATTTCTTAATATTACCAACACCTGAAGGTATTTAACAAAAGTATGAAATATTCGGTTACACCCCAACTAAGCCTTTCCTTACTTGTTTTAAATAGCTTCATTTATGCGACTGGATAATTATTGCATTCGACTAACTTACATCATAACGTACAGGTTGGTTGAAAAGCGTAATGAAAAAATACTGTTTTTGGGTCGAAATATATTTTTTTATTCAATAATGATAATGATCCTCCAATAATTTTATGCCATCCCTATAATGACTTTCGTGAAGTTTTGCAAAATACCCGTCTACGGCTCTATTAGCTTCGTCATTCGACGAAAAACGCTTTCCACGAAGGAATAGTTTCAGGTTTCTGAAGAGGTAGTAGTCGTGGGAGCCAAAACTGGTGAATACGGTGGATGCTCAAGCAATTCGTACTTTAATTCGTTGAATTTTGTCATTGTTAAAACACCTTTGTGAGCAAGTGCATTGTCTTGATGAAAAATTATTTTTTGTGCTGTAAACCAGCTCTTTTCTGTTCCGAAAGGCTGCAGTAATATTCAGAGTTGATTGTTTTATCTTTCTGCAGATAATCAATCAACAAAACTCCTTTTGCATCCCAAGAAACTAATGCCATATCCGTTTTCGCTGAGTGACTTCACAACATGGTTGTAGATCCAAGTCGCATCCATATTTATAAAACGGCGCAAGAAGTCGGTTTTATTCTGCTTAAAATGCTCCAAATTATGATGAGAAATTTGTTTTGGATCCAGTTTTGTTGAATTGTTAACGTGTGCGGCACTAACTTTCCAAACAGCTTTTTCATATGTGATACTCCAAACTATAAAGTACTCGTTCGTCTGAGATGCCTATGTCATTAGCAATTTCACCCTTAGTCAAACTTGTATCTTCTCTAACAATATTATGAACTTGCTCAATAATTTCTGGTGTGGTTGCGTGGATCGTCTTCAAGCCCAGTACAACCACGTTTAAATTCACCAGCCTAAACTTCAACGATGCGTTTTGAAGGTGAGATATTCTAACACTTCTAACAATTGTTCATAAATTTCCTTGGTTTTAAGCCTTCCAAATTAAAAAAATACTCTGACACGTCAACTTCAAATGGCTTGTAAACAAAGAATTAATTGGCAGAATGACTAGTAACTTTGCATGTGTTCTCACGACAGATGTACCAACTTGAGAAATCGCTTTTCAACCTACCTACTTATATTTACGTTTGTTACATGGTAAACATTGTTTTGTTATTTTGGTGGAGAACTAACTTTTAAATCTTCTGGTCATAATTTCACGTCATTAATTGAATATTAACTATTTAAAATATTTTAGATTTCCTATGAGAAATCAAAATAAATCCTGTAACGTGTGAGACTGATAATACTTTGGGCTAAACAAAAACGTGTCATTTGCTATACCAATGACGAGCCAAAGGATCATGGAAGTGTTTATTATTTTTGTTTGACTCAAGCAAGTCACAAGTGTTAAAAATGATCCTTTAAGGGGCCCTGATGATATTCTTTACTTGCATAAGCTCGGCGTGATACAAAATTTTGTCAAAGCTATACCTAGAGATGGCACTGGACTTACATATTGAAAGAGAAATGCCCAAACTCCGGGAGGGATAAAATTAATAAAGGAATATTTGTGGGTCCACAAATACTGTAACAGATAAAGAATAACAGCTTTGAAGAGAAACTGAATGATCAGGATAAACTCGCTGGCAATGTAGTGTGAACGTTGTTCAACATTTTCTAGGAAACCAGAAATCGGAAGACTTCAAAGACTTAATAAATGGACTTATAATATCATATAAAGTTTTGGGGTGTAATATGTTCTTAAAAATATATATGCTGCACTCTAATTTGGATTTTTTCTGGAAAATTTGGGTGCTGTGAGAGACAAACAGGGCGAGAGGTTCCAACAGGACATTTCTTTAATGAAGCGCTATCAAGGCAAATGCAACGCAGGAATTATTGTTAGAGACTTAAAAATGTCCTTCTAGGTACCAAATATTCAGGGAAATCATAAATATTTCTTTTATATCAAGCTACAATTTCTTTATATTTAGCTGGAGTTTGTACTTTTTATAAAAATATATGTTTTGATGTCACAAGAAAACTTAACGTGTCAAATTTTTTCATTCACACAAATAACTTTTTCGACTGTTTCATCAGTTTCTTGTTTTCAGCATGGATTTCGTAAAGGTAATCTACTCTAACAAATTAGCTTGAATTAGTGAACCGTGTACCATTCGGTTTTTGGGAACATTAGCATGCGGATGTTATATACACTGACTTTAACAAAGCTTTCGATAAAGTAAGCCTTCTTCAATGGGTATCTTCTTATCACAACTTAAGTGAAGATATTAGGAATATGAAATTAAGACCAAAGTCTAGACCAACTCCATTCATGTTCAGCGCTAAGCTATTAATATAATAAGGTTTGTCAGAATAACGGAAATTATTATATGTAGTATTATACATCCGGAAGTTTGAAAATCTTGTAGTAGGTATATATCAGATAGGTTTAGTATTGACCGGATTTTATCTATTTTTGGCATTACTATATATTATTAATAGAAACAGACGCTCTCTGACTTTTATTAAGGTACGTACCAAACCATAAACAATATACAGGGAGTAAAGTCAACTACATATTTGAAAATCCCTATATACGGTATTCGGAGGCTAAGGCAAATTTTCGACCGATTTTATCCATTTTAGGCACAGAGATGCATCGTTAGGCAAAAACCAATTTCTCTCCTAATTTCACACATTGACCGATATTTTCGGTGAAATGTCAGCCATAGGCTCTGGGGTCCACATTTCTAGTATTTGGGGGCTTGAATAGTTGTCGTCCGATTTGGACAATATTTAGTCATAAGATGGCACACCTCAAAGACACTATTGGTGCAGTCTTATCCGGATATCTTGATTTGTATACTGGAAAGTGAAAGAATCAGATGGAATACAAATTGTGTTATATGGGAAGTACCACTCCCACTTTTTTATCTGATTATTTGCAAAAACATAAAATGTTTGGTTACACCTGAACTTAGCCCTTTTTTACTTGTTTTATTTACAAAACTTAAGTACATGCATATCGTTGTTGTCCAAAATTAATGGATTATCGAATGTCCATTTTATCAAGGAGAACCAAAAGTGAGTGAATCCTACACCACAGACAGAAAACGCTTGTTAAAATATATGATTTTTGAAATTAGTAAATTGACCGATGACCCATTTTTTTAAAACGTTGTTACAATATATTTCAAATATTGTTTTTTGATATCTTACCTCTGTTATTCCGTCCAAGATATCTGCATAAAATGATGCCGCCTTCAACCTAGGTACCTCATCTTGTTATGATCGGTTCTGGGGGTAACTCTTTAATTTGTTTTTTTTTGTTGTAGCGGTGTACTCTGAGCGGAGCTTTTACCAAAGTATTTTTTATTGAACGAGCTAACGACAGGATGTTCTAACTTTTTCAGCTATTAAATTTAAACCGTGCGCCAAACAATTTATGTGTATGAGATTCGGATATAAAACTTTTCAATTTCCACCTGCTTTGATCATATATGCCGCAGCATCCGTTAAAAGCAACAACACCTTTGATTCATTCCCTGTCATTCTTAATATTTATCAGTCGTTGACAATCGCGAAACAGTTTATATTTACTTCTACCAACTGTTTACATGACAATAAAAGAGCATGAAGATTAATTCTCGCTCAATGTTCTGACATAAATTTGGGACATATCGCCTAGTTTTGTGCGTTGTTTCTCCACTGATATTTATTGAATTGAATTGGTTTGGCAAATTTATTGAATTATAGCTCTTCTGAAAGAACTTGGTGTAATTTTTGGTTTTTATGTTAAATTAATAATGATTGTCATTAATGCAAGAAAAACATTCTTTTATATAGTTAACAAGAAGAATTTAATTTTTCGATGAAACTTGTTTGCATATTTCTTCCATATTTTGTAGCATTATTTTCGATATGCGTTAAAATCTGTTATATGTGATATATTTAATAATTAACGTCTAAATACAAAATTTGAGTCTCATGTGAAAAAAATGCAAATTCCGAGGTCTACTGATGAAAGGTGTCTGTTGCAAACAAGGAAATGCAAGGCGATCTGCTTTTCCCGAAGACCTGTGCACCGCTCTCCCTATGTAATAAAAAAGTTTTTAACTTTGTTGATTTGGAAGTTAATACGGAAGCTTAATTTTAGTCTTCATTATTGATACCATCGTTTTGAAAGCAAAGAGTGTTCTAAGTTTTGTTAAACCCTGGTTTAAAGAATTTAGAGATCAGTATATTACTAAAACCCTTGTTACGACTTGTAGATTATACTCTGTGGTATGGAACTTAAAATTTTGAACTAAATTTAGTTCTGATTCCCTGCATTTGATTTATCTGACTCACTTTTAAAATTAAAACGATATTGCTTTCTCTTAAAAATAAAATCGTAACAATATTGCTTTCTCTTAATAAATAAAATCGTAACAATTTATTATTAAGTAATTTTGAATCTTAGCTGTTGAAATTTTGTTTCTGTAGATGAGAATTTTAAATTTCGACGATTATTAATAAAACAAGTGAGTTATGATCTAAGTATGGTATATTAATAATATGATAGCAATAATGATTGGTAATCCATTCAAGATTTAGTCGAATAATGAATGTTGAATTCATAATCATTAATTCTATATAGGAATATAGGCCAGCGCAGAAGCCTTTGAAATGGTAAATGTGAAATACAAATTCATAACAGGTTGAAACCCATTGGAAAAGCAAGCTGAATAAGAAATGAAAATAATTTATGAGCGATCTGAGTTCAGGAAGAGGAGAGGAGGAACGTGGTTGAATTTTTAAGAGTTAAAACGATTTATCTCAATTTTCGGCAAAACTACAAGACCTATAACAAATAGTTAAATGACAAAGTTGTCGGTGATGAAATGATTGATCTACAATTTTGTATTTACACATTTTCACATAACCCAAAATCTAAGTGAGAAATTCAAATAACCAATATTATGTAAAGAATGCTTCCTTTATAAATTTGGTATAGACTTACCTTCCTATCTCTCAAATTCAATTTATTTATTTTTATTTTTATATTTTTCTTGTCCTTATTTGACTAGAGTATTTAAAAATTTAAATGGCAATCGAAAATTTTCACTTCAACATATCATTGGTTTTACAACGTCAGTAGGCTATGTTCATTCAAATTCCTTCTTCCTGATGGGATAAAATACTTATACTATATGTACAAAATACTTATACATATGCTACATTGTCGCAGAAAAGCATAAAAGACTGTTGCTTTGTTTATTTCATTGACCTGTTATTTCGTACTAGCAGCTGTAATAAAAGATGTTTCAATACTTTGTTTCATTTTCTGAGAAAGTTTACCAGAGTAATGTAATCTTTTCATTTTGTTATTTTATCTTTTTGCTAAAATTATCTACTGGTCTAATCGATATGGAATAAACAAATATTTTACATAAATGGCGCAAAGGCGTACCAAATTCGTATTAAACGTTACCAAAATTATTTCACAGATGGATGGCCATGGAATCCCTTTATGACAACATTTTTCCGTGAAATCTGATATATGGAGCTTTGGAATTTTGATGGGAAATAGTGACATTGGGGTCAACACCATATCCTGGCATTTCTGCGGCAGGGTCATGCGTAAGGTATAATTCAATTACAAAAGCGATAGCAGAAATCGCTCTTTACAAAATTAATTTGATATAATGTTTTCAATATAGAAAATGTATGATATACAAAGTGTGTCCAAAGGAAAAGGTTAATTTTATGTGTACATTGATGTATTGTATATTTGGTTTATGTCATAATCGGACACATATGTTTATCATGTGCTTGCATTAAGAGCAAATTTCGATTAATAGTTTGTTTTGACAACAGAAAAGGTTAGTCACGTTTATATGTGCTCTTCGATTTTGGAATCTTGAATATGTATTAAGTTTTGCGTTAAAATAGAATAAGGTGTAAGGCACTTGAAATGATGACTGTGACATCTGGTGAGTCCACTTTGTCAAAAAGTGTTGATAAGTGGTACAAGCGCTTTACAGAAGGCCGAGAAGATGTCTATGACAATAAGATCCTCAAGGCCCAATCATCCCAATGGAAGCTGCTAGATGAGCCAAGACCGAAAATGCACACCAAGTTCGATCAAATGTGAAAGTCTTACTCACTGTTTTTTAATTACAATAGTGTGGTGTATCAAGAGTTCCTGCCAAAAGGTTGTTCAGTTAATAAAGAATACAACAAAGAATACAAGCAATGTTTGCTGCAGCAATACGGCTCAAACGATCGAATTGTGGAGAAACAAATCGGGGATTCTGCATCACGATAACGCACCAGCTCAAACAAAGATTTGGCTCCTTCTACTTTTCCTAGTCCCAAACTGAAGAAACCACCGAAAGGATAGCGTTTTGCAATTGATGAAATCAAGTCAGGATCGAAGAAAGAGCTGATGGCCATACAAAAAGCGCATTTTGAGTGCTTCGAGGATTGAAAAGGTTGGCACAAGTGTATGTCCGAGGGGATTACTTTGAAGTGGACAAAATGTATACTGATGAATAAATAAGTAATTTAAAATTCACCTTTGCTTGTGAACCCACTCGTACTCGGTGTTTTGAAATTAGCTTTTGAAGGTTACAAACTTTATATAGTTAAGGAAGCATATGCTCGATATGCTGGAATTTTGAAACAGAGTTTATTCCTTATCTGATAGCTGAGTAGCAAAGTTTCTGCTGGAAAAGCGTTTCTTAACCCAAAACTAGAAACTAGCAGAAGAGAACACAAGAGAGATCGTAAAAGCTGAGAGAGCTGCTAGAAAATTTCTACTAGCAGAAAATAGCTACGCAATATGAAGAAACAGCTGTTAAAGCACATGCATATTTACGCATTTGTATTGATTTGTTAATTTCATTGTTTTGAATTATGAAAATAAAATTTATTGATTAAGTGTTATTAAAAGTAAGTGAAAACAACATTTTAATATTTTCTTGTTAGTTTTACTAGTTTTCCTTTCTTTAGTTTTCGCTCTTGTGAGAGTAACTTACAATCTTCTTCTTCCTGATAGCTAGTAGATACTAACAGGTAAGATGCAAAGTATAGTTTTGTTTGTCAATTTGCAGTGTTTGCAAATATTGCTTCTAAAATTAATTAGAGTCGGATTCCAATCAATACTATAATAAAGTCCACTAATCCAAATTACCCATTGTCACCATGTTCGTTATCCCGGTTGATACTTTACCATTTTTGTATATTGTTCAATATGTGAAGTAAATAAAGATATTACGTGAGCATATATTTTGAACTGGGGTGATTCCCACCGGCCTAGGTTTTCGAAGGCCAGTAGTTTTCATAAAAAGGTATTTCCACTTTTATTTGGCTTTGAAGATTGCCGTAGACATTGCTACGATAATTGCTGTAATTGTGCGTCTTCGCCCTATGTCACACGCCGAGTTTGGCTGGAGTCGACTCGGCTGAATGCTGTCCACGAACAATACTTTTTGGTGTCGTTAAAAATGTTTCAATATTTTCACAACGTTACGAAATTCTAAAATCCAAAATAACAATTCACCTTGTCTTTCTAATATGAGGTGGTCTGCCAGAATCGATGCCGTCAACCATTTGCGAAAAGCTTTTCCGGTGATAAAGTAAAGAAAAGTTACAGCAGAATATCGTCCGGACGTTGATGGAATTTTGAAATATTGTATATGGGCATATTTGAGTGCGTTTTGATGGCCTCCATAAATATTTCAGTCAATCAATAAAAACTTTTTTCAAGAGATCGACGCTAAAGTTAGGAATATAGAAAGACTTTTGTGGATTTGTATTCTTCTTTCGACCAGTGGAAGCATTATAATGAATGCAAAATTTTGCAGAGAATAGAGCGTGTGGACGATTTTACCATGAGCAAAAACAAACACAAAACGACCTAGATGAAGAATTGAATGAAAATTTCATTGGCATGGTATATGAACTCAACCAGTTACAAAAATTTGCAAAAACGTTTACGATGTAAATTACTCCATACAACTTATTGAATGCCATCAATGCTCGGAAATTGGGAAGAGTTTTCCAAAGTCCGTTTCTATTTCAAGTGGCGAAAGTTAGTTTAGTGCTTAGCAAGGATCAAAATTTTCATCGATAACGCTCATCACAGGGCAAGATTTCAGGACAAGTACATTGTCCCTAGAAGCAGAATTAGCTAACAAATTGGATTACAGACTTTATCGACGTCGTTGTTGTCACCAAAGCTCGAAAGCCTACTCTTCGAAACTTGAGGATTGAAGGATTTATATTGCATGTTCAAAAATTAATCAAGATAGTCTGGTATATAAGTAGAACCGTCATTTTATTAGTTAGATCGATAAATAAATGTTTGAATGAGATGTTTCTGCCTTTTATTAACCGTCAAGTCTTGCTATTCCTATATTCATATATTCCGGTATAATCTGAAAAAATATTTTTTACTGAAAGTCTATGTATGAACTGATTTACACATTATTGATTTATAAAATGGTAAAAAATAAATTTGTTCTGTCCATCATCAACAAGAAAGAAAATTTCATACAGAAGTCATGAGATGATATATTTTACTTTTTCTTCAAATGTTAGAGAACTTCTAACAGTTTTATGTTCTGAGAGGTGAGAGTAGTTGTTACAAATATTATGGTAAAGTGTAGAAATTGTATTATTGTATGTAAATGTTTAAAAAACGTTTCCTGAATATTTAACATTTGTTCAAATCTGAACAGGAAATGATACCCACACTTTCCTTCATATAATGGTAATAAGATATAGTTAACTTCTGTGTTTTTAGGTACGCGATGGATACCGTCTTGAAAAACCTGAACATTGCCGACGTGAACTATATAACATAATGTATTACTGCTGGTCAGGCGATCCCAATGAGCGCCCTACTTTTGTGGAATTGGTTCAAATGCTAGATAAACTACTACATACTGAGATGGATTATATTGAACTGGAACGTTTTCCTGATCACAACTACTATAATATTCTGAATATGAGCGGCGAAAAGTTGTAATACTATACTATAATTAATGTATGTAAGAGTTTAAAAACTCTGTTCCAATAATAAACAATTTCATTACTTTTTATATTGCTTGAATTTTTAAAAATAGTTGAACACTTGTGTAAATTAGTTTTTAATAATTTAATTGGTGAGAATAATTATTGACACTATTGATTGATTATTTACACTAGTTTTTAGAAGATAGATAATATTGTACATAGAGAATATTAAATAATGTATGCTTATTATTATGGATCAAATGTTAAATAAAGATATTTCTATTCATTTTCGATATTCAAATATTTTTATGAATATTAGAGTTAATTACTATCTCCGCCGCAGAGAAGATCTGGTACAGTAGAACATCCCATACTCTCGCCAAATGCAGGCATTAAATATTTGGATAATGCCTATTATAAACAAGTTATGAAGGTCTAAGTTCGAGTATAAACGAAAATTTTACGCTCTCGCAATTTGCAAGGATTAAAGTCGGGGCATATTTTCAGGTGTTGGCAAAACTTTTAATTAATATAATATAATTTTAATATTCGTTATTCCACGAAATTAATAAATAATGCATTATATTCACATTTGGTATCTAACTGAAACTTTGGTTTATGTCATAAAATACATATGTATTATATATTTTAAGTATACTTAGTTATACTAATATTAAAATTAATGTTATTAACACAAGTCTCTATATTCATCATGTTGTTAATCTTTAATTTTAATGGCATAATCCTAACTAATCTAATTTCGCTTAATTTTATTGCGATATCTTCTATTGAAATTATAAAGTACGTAACTTATAAAATTAATCAATAAAATAAAGAACATATTAATGAAAATAAACTGTTTAAAGACAACTGGAAAGTTAGAAATGACTATATTAGGTACATGGTCCTAGGATTTATCTAAGGCACCACGAATAAATATTATATTACCAGAAATTTATACACTCTGTGCAGGCTTGCGAATTTTTTAATTCAAAAACAACATACGCATACGCAAAAAAATGTAATTTCCAAAAAAAAAATTTTTTTATACTCTCGCAACATGTTGCTACAAAGTATAATAGTTTTGTTCAACTAACGGTTATATACATGTAAATGATCAGGATGAGGAGATGAGTTGAAATCCGGGTGTCTATCTATCCGTTCGCCCGTCTGTCTATGTAAACTGTAACTTGAGTAAAAATTGAGATATCGTCATAATACTTTGTACAAGTGTTCCTTGGTCAAATCGGGAGGACGGCGTAATCGGAAGCATTACATTTCACATGTATGGCACCGGAGGGATCCATAGGAGCCCGTGACAAAATTGAGAAATGGGCATGGCACCGTTCACCTTTAAGAGGAATTCCATATCTCAGGACCTACTCGACCCGTTTCAATCTAATTCGGTTCGTAACATTCTCTTGACATTTCTACATTACGGTGTGAAAACGAATATAACACAATTATAAATTACCTTTCATTCTTTCACTTTTCAGTGATGGAACAATGGGTGTAACACCCGTAAAACCGTTTGCTAATGTGGCCCGGAACTGCATTATGATTGGCGTCCTAGAGGGGGGTGACTCCGAACAAAATGTTCCCAGAGCCGAATGGAATAGGGTATATGCTGCACTGATAATGTGCAACAATGGCGTTGGAAGTGCTGTTAAGCAATCCGGGCTCTTCACCGTTCTGCACAGCTGCCAGCCGTACGCAGGGCCTGCGATGACGAGAAATCGGTTCAGCTTTACAAAGTCGTTAGAGCCTAACTTGGGGAAGTATACTTTGGAGCCAGACTGGTAGCGGTCGATAAAAAATACATTCCAAAATAAATCTTGCTGTTAGTAACAAAAGAATCTATCCAACCGCTGGCAATAAGTGGTGCGGAGATCAGGTATGGGTTCACGAAGGTAAAAATTAATCGATTTGCGTACTCAGTATACCGAAATACATATTGTAATGACTCGCTGTGAAGGTAAGGTTAGGTTATGTATTATATAATGGCTAGAAAAAACCTTAACATTTTTATGATACATAACTATAGCAACCAGGACGCAACAGCAATAAGCTGGGAGAGACAGGCGAAAGCAGGTACCGGTTGGTGTCCAGTAAAATGCCGCAAGACGGGGACCAAATACCACCGCAGCTGATAAAAAAGCTGGTACAGGCTAGTAAGGTATGATAAGAGTATGATAATACTTGGATGCGATTCAGACGCGCACTATACACTATGGGTGAGCAAAGACAAAAACAAAAGAGGAGAGTTTCTCTTTACTAGGAAACTCTTCTACTCTTGAAGAGCACTAATTTTTGGATCACCACTACATTGAATGTATATGTGCAAACTGGCAAGTGCAAATTCAAGAGCTAAATATACGTATTCCCCCAATCCATACTAAGGTCCAAAGAGGACCTAAACATCCTCGTTAAACGGTCCTCGGAATCTCGCAGACAAGCATTAGAATTGGAATTAAGAACTAAATAACACTTAATAGGGGAAGAATTAGGTCACCGCGGTGGTCCCTCGAACTTAATAATTCTCAGAAAGATTTCAGCAGCAATTTAATGTAGCTAAACAATCCCAAGTAGAGGAGAAGGAAGTTATTACAATTTTCTAGGTAATATAAAAAATTATAAGAAAAGTTAAAAGATTTGAAGCGTCTCGTCAAAGGAAAATAATAGCACAGTCTGGTCATAGCATTGAATACCTTCAGAACTCAGATCATAGTCGGACGGTTTCCAGTGAAGAGTAAGCCTCACTTCCCGGGCAGCTATGCTGTTGAGGACACATCTATAGATATAGTATCAGATAATAATGTATGCTGGGCAATAAGCAGTTTTAAGCCCTTCAAATCGCCAGGACCTGACCTGTAGGTAAATTGTATTCCCCCGTTATGGAGGAAAGTCCAAACGATTTTAGACCAATTAATATTTCCTCATTTATTCTAAAAATGTGAGAATGATTAATAGAAATCTCAGTATTTTTCAATATGAAACAAAGAATTTCAAAATTTTCGCCGCCATTAATAAATGGTACCAAGCAATCAAAGGGAAAGAATACGTTACTTGGAACTAATTTAAGACAAGAAGGTATCATGTAAAACAAACTTAGAGGCTAGGGTAAAGAAAGCAGCAGCAGTCTTTTAAAAATGTAAAAGGATGGTGAAAACTAACGCCTCGCGTAACTTAATGGCTCTACACATAAATTGTAAGGCCAATTATGTCATCCGGTATATTGGTCTATTGGATTTAATAATGAAAAAGAAAAATGTGGTAAGACATATGGAGAGCATACAAGTATATACAAGTATGTATATCAGTGAGGCCCTTAAAACAACGCCAAATCAGACAGTAAATTAAACCAATTAAAAAAAGCCTTGTCGTTCTGATAAAGAGTGTGTTTACAACAAGAAATATATTTACAATATACACAGATGGCCAAGCGGCTTTGAGATCACTAAAGTATCTTAGGGTATCATCGGAGATAGATCTGGCAGATCTGATAGATCGGAGAATGCATCTGGCTACCGGTCGATATTTAATCGGTAAACATGTTATAGATATAGCTGAGTATTATGGAAAACTTTTGCTGACTTGTTCAACAAGCAGACAAACGTGGCATGAATGAGTCATAGTTTTATTGGCAGACATGCCAGCAGACTGGAGATACCATACAAGTATAACGATTATTGTAGATGCTATCAAGAGGTAGAATAAGAAGAAACTGTAGAACATCTTGTATGCAAGGCTTTGTATGGGAAAATAATCGGAGCTATCGGTCGAGGATTTCTTAGCGATGTCCCAGAAGTAGCACATACAAGTATAAATTTTGTTGAAATCAATTAAATCATGAAAATATATAATATATAACCCTATAACTGTCTCGATTAGTTTTAGATTTCACAAACGACTGTTAGGTGTACAAAACTTGTACACTTTGTTTCAGCATGAATGATATAACCTATGCATTTCTGTGAGATTATATTAGCTAACTCAACTACTTACATTTTGCAGTCACCCAACAAAGTTTCATGAATTTTTCACAAAGTTTTCAGGCGTTACTGCCACTTAGTATCAATATATACCGATATATTTTTATGTTTTTTAATAGCACCAGTATTAGTTAATTCGACAGTAAAGATTTTTAATATCCGTATGCATTTTCCCACAGCACTAATATGATGAATATAGTAATGTGAGTTAGTTAAGTTGATTTTAATAAATATTTCGGATATAAAACCAAATGTACTAAAGAAGTTATGTAAGTCAATGACCTATAAATAAGTCATACTCTACGTGATTACTTACATCATTTTATAGTATGGTAGTATAAAGTGGGCTTGGATAGAGCAATACAGAAAAAATTTTTTTTTTCGAAGCTAATAAAAGCTGATAAAATTGTCTCCCATATTGACTTTTATTCCTGTGACAGTTACTTTCTTGAGATAATATATTATATTTTAAGGAAAGCAGCAAAAGTATATTTTTGTTATATTCCTTAAATCGTGCATAGCAACTCTCTTAAATTTTTTCCACTGCTATATTATTTTACAAGTGGGTCCTTCCAAATTTTACGTGTTACACCAAAACATCTCATTTGAGCTCATAGCCTTGCTGTTTCTATGAAAACACACAATATCGGGATCAAGCTGGATCAACAATAATTTTCCTCTGTTATTGCACACTTGGAACATTTAATTTTCCGTAGAGGTTACCATTAAGGTATAGAGTTCATTACCCTCCATGACTTTTTTTCCTTCCCTATGTTTTAATAATGCAAGCGATGCTGAAGACAAAAACATTTCCGAGAGATTTCTTTAACAGTTACATTTATAAATAAACATACATGTAAGACCAATTTTAATATTATATATTGTGTTGGTTTTGGGTCGACTTTAGTATACCATCAAACGATTTCAGGGTTAAGAGGGGTATGGTTGGATAGAGGAGATTCTCCAGATCACGAATATATATAATTATATCCGCCGGAAACTTATTACAACTTAAACAATTCCTCGATTTATGGTTAACTTTTCTTTTATATTATGCTCTTATTATATACTAACACTTCACTACAATGTTTCTACATATTTATTTTGTATTAATTAATTCAATATTTGATTTTAATTGGTATTTTATTTTTACACAATTTTCATTATATGCACAATAATAAATGGGTTCCATATTAACAGATAATAAGTGTTGCCATATCCAAACGAATGAAAGCAATCAAAATAAATAAAATACCCAATTACTTTCTACAAAATTAACTTATATGTTAATATCCGTTATAATCTGTTATAGAAAATGAAATTTAAAGAGAGTGATATACCCTCATTATTATTACCTTTTTTTGCTTAGATTTCTTATTTGCTTTGGCGGCCTTCGGCCGCGCTTCAAAAAAATAACCCTGACCGATCCAACCGGGGTGGTCGTTATTCCTTTCGCGTCCAACTTCCTTCTTTCTAATATAAAAGAAAAGTTAACCGTAAATCGAGAAATTGTATATATTCGTGATCTGGAGAATCTCCTCTATCCAACCATACCCCTCTTAACCCTGAAGAGTGGGATGGTATTCTAAAGTTTCTCCTTGGTTTTATATAAATAAATATATATTTACGTACAAATGTATATTTTATACAAAAAAAAATTGAAACCAATTTGATGTTTTATCAATTAGCTTTTAAGATATACGAAATTTTTTGAGGGTTGTGTACATTCGATTATCGATATTTTGTTTTTGTTATAATCGGACACATATGTTTATCATGTGTTTGCATTATAAGCCAATTTCGAGAAAAGTTTAATCACGTTTTTGTGTGCTCTTCGATTTTTTAATTTTGAAAGAAATGGATCAAATAATATGTACTTGTATTAAATTTTGTGATAAAAATGGAATGAAGTGCTCCAAGGCACTTGAAATGATGACTGCGGCAATCGGTGAGTCCACTTTGATTCAAAAAAGTTTTTATAAGTGGTACAAGCGCTTTACAGAAGACCGAGAAGATGTTGATGACGATGAGCATCCTGGAGGTGCGACACACTTCAACGAGCGAAGTAAACATCCAAACAGTAAAAAAAAATTGTTCTTGAAAATCGTCAAATCACTATTAGAGAAGTTGAAGAGGATGTTGGCATATCAATCGGCCATTCAATTTTCTCAAATGTTTTGGGCATGAAACGTGTGGCAGTTCCGAAATTGCTAAATTGCCAGCTCACACATCAATGGTTATTTGTGACTGCCCTGCGACTTTTTCCTATTCTCAAAACTGAAAAAACCAATGAAAGGAAAGGGTTTGCCACAATTGATGAAATCAAGTCAGAATCGAAGAAAGTGCTGATGGCCATACAAAAAAGCGCATTTCAAAAGTGCTTCGACGATTGGAAAAAGCGTTGGCACAAGTGGATTATATCCAAAGGGGTATTAAGTACTTTCCAAAAAATTCAAAATTCGCCTTTTCCTTTGAACACACCTCGTATGTACATACATATGTATCTGTTTTTGTTTTAGGAGAAGATTTGTTAACATAGAGTGATGAGTTAGAAGAACTTACAGATCCAAACAGGGTTAGATCGCCGAAATAACAGCGCTTGGCCGGATAAAACCCGGGTCAATTCCGGTAACGTACAACCGGCTGTTGTGGGAATTGTGTTGTAGCACTTTGGTATGAAGTACTTTCGTGAAGGGAGCAGGTAAAGAATACTTAGAGCCATTACCATATGCCAAAACGCATATGAATAAACGATGTGGTAGTTTTTTTCCGTTTGCAAGAGAGCAAAGCAGATTAGACCTACCTAGACCTAAGGGCATATAAATTATAAGGAACTTTGGTGATGGATACCATTTTCGCATTTTGTAACAACGTATACCCCAAATGGTAGAAATGAGACATATACCTGTAAGCGCAGAGCAGGGGGAAGACCACAATAAAAATCACTAAACTGAAACACTCATTTTTTTACTAAATAACAACTGTACTCATCCTCTCCACAAGCACGAAAAAGTAAATAGTTGCTTCGGTGTAGTAGTAACGTCGAATGGCAATGTAAATGCTGGGTTGAAAAATTAGGTTGTTAAGGGAAAGTAAAGGGGATGCCGCAAGGACAGAAACATTTGATGGCACTTCACTATTCTCAGAACAATCCAAATAATGCACACACAAGTAGAAAATACTAAACTTAGCATTCGAAAGGACATTTTTTGTCATTTATTTTTTGAGGATTATCTCTTTCAAATGTTGACCGCAGTGACGTGTCAGATGATCCATTCGTTGAGTCCAATTTTCTACGAAAACAACCCAGCAGAAACTGCTTGGAGAGGAGCTCGTTATGTTCCTTAACCGGAAGCATACGGGCCTCCCTGTGTAGGTGTTCGATCGGGGGCATCAAGAGGCATCCCGTGATGGTCCGGAGTGCCGTGTTTTGACAGGTCTGTAGCTTCTTCGTCTGCGTAGCGCTACATACAGGCGACCATATTGGGGCTGCATAGCTTAGACCGGCCGACCGATTACCTTGTGTGTCGCCAGCAACGTTTCTTTGTCTTTTTCCCAAGAGCTGCCGGCTAGCGATTTGAGGATTTTGTAGCTGCTCTGTACTTTGGCAGTTATCGCGGTCGTGTGAGAAGTGAAGGAGCAAAGACTGTCTAGTGTAACGCCTAAAATTTTAGGGTTGTTTACTGTCGGAATTTTGGTGCCATCGACTGAGATGTCTAGATCATAGATCTAGAGAATGGTCGCTGTGGATTTACCGGTGAGAGTGTCAGACTTCTTGCAGAGAAGGAGCGAGAAAGACTGGAGAGATAGCCGTTTACTTTCGAGCACATGCCATCAATTCCATTGCCCGACGTCAATATCGCGCAGTCATCAGCGTACGAGGTCACGGAAATTCCCTCTGGTGGTTGAGGGAGTTTCGAGATGTAGAAATTAAACAGTAGCGGGGAGAGGACACCACCCTGCGGAACCCCCTGTTTAATTCTTGTCAGTTTGGAGTTTTGACCTCGAAACAGTATGGATAAATGCCGACCGCTCAGGTGTCGAAGGCTTTCGACAAGTCCAACGCTACGAGGATCGTCCTCTCGCAGGGTGGCTTCTGGTTTAGGCCATGAGCTATCCGAACGTTTATGACGCTAAGTGCTGTGGTGGTGCTGTGTACTTTTCGGAAGTCATGCTGATGTTCTGCTAGACTCAGATGGTGAGTGAATGTCGGGAGTAGCAAGGTCTCAAGTGTCTTCACTACTGGGGAAAAGAGAGTTATCGGACGATAAGACTCCCCTTTGTTGGCGGGTTTGCCAGGTTTCAGTAGTGGGACCACTCTTCCGACTTTCCACACATCGGGTATTTGAAGAGTGGTCATCGACAAGTTGAGAACATTGGTGAGGTAGCTTACTCCCGTTGAGCCTAGATGTTTTAGCATCAGCATGCTTATTATGGCAGGGTCAATGGATTTAGACGATTTGGCCTTTGTGATGGCACTCTGAACCTCCCTATCGGTGAAAGCAAGTGGTGCACAGTCTTTTGGCATTTTGCGCAGCCGTCGGGTAACACATCGTTTGGCCTTGTCAGTCGAAGGGTGCAGTGTAAGCCCGGGCCCGGGGGGTTGGTCAGACTGGGAGTCATACGCCTGTGTGAGCTCCTTAGGGATCCTATCTTGGCCACTCGACTGGAGTCGCGGCGCAGTGCGCGAACATAGTGCAGGTTGCACAGCTTTTGAGGCAGGTGTCGCAGTATTGCGTTGGCAGCATAAGGCCAGGTAACTCGTGGTCCACTCCCTATGGATCTTAAGGCCTGAGCAGGTCTTAAGATGGCTCCATCCATTGCATGTATTACACCTAACCGTGGTGGAGTTTGGATGGAGCCTTCTAGCGCAAACGCAGCAGAAAAATTCCTCGGAGCCCGGATTGGACTCGATGCCAGTACGGGTCAGGAGGATACGGAGCAACCCTCCTGCTGAACTTACCGACCCAAACAGGGTTAGATCGCCCAAATAACAGCCCTTGGCCGGATAAAATCCGGGTCAATTCCGGTAACGTAGAACCGGCTGTTGTGGGAATTGGACTCTCCAAGGTCTTCGTGTACACTCTCAGCTACGGCTGCTATATTTTCTTCACTGCGTGCTGGACGTAGTCTATTCGGTAGAATATTATCCAATAATAAATGCTGGGTCTCAAGATGGGTGATGGTGTTGCGTGCGAATATTACGCTCAGTAGGCCGATTATGCTGACCATAAGTTGAGCAAAGCTCCCGAAACACATTCTTTACAAAACGTAAATTTTCGTAATAAAGTTGAAGAATTTGTGAACATTATTCAGATGTAAGTCTTTCCACGATAAAATGCCAAACAACACTGAACAAAAATAACATGATAGCCTAACGCGACTCGCTCGTGATATGTTAAAAAAGAGACTATTGGAAAAAGTATCTTACTTAGATCACCCGTTATATAGAACTCCATATCTATCCCGATTAGTTTTATGTGTTACAAACAACCGTTAGGTGAATAAAACTAAAATTCTCTGTGTTTACTTTATTACCAGATTAGCACTCATCAAGGACATTATTACTTCCCTTTTTTTTCCTTCACAAAACGCCTTTTGTTTAAGGTTTAAATTCAAAAGATTTTATTTTTATTTTTTTTATTTTTTTGTTAAATGATATTGTTCACAACCTTTTTATTGGCTTAACAGCTAAATTCAAATATAGCGTATAACTTTTTTTATAAAAATTAACACAACGATTTTAATATTAGACAGTCTTGACGGTTGGTAGCGGAGATAGCGATTTTCCTGATGACGGTGCGCAAAAGAGGTTGGTGGTCGCTCGTCGTCCCCTTTTTACCTCCTTCGGTGTGGTGTGTAGTGTGTCTTCATGTGTGGTGTGATCGTGATGATAGGGTTGGTGTGGAGTGTGTGTGTGGGATGTAGGTGTGGTGATGTGGATGTGAATTGCTCATTTAACCATCCCGGCCCACCTAGGCAAATATTTAGCCTAGCAAATTCTGCAGTTGTTGCAACGTTGCTACAACACTGCTGAGGCCAGTGGGGCGGCGGGATGATGGTCTGGGTCGTCGGTGCCGTGCAGGTGTTTCGTTCCTTACATTCCTTGGACGATACTGTGGAGCGGCAGCTGGGTGTGATGTTGTATCGGGTGGCTGGGCAGCGGTCGCCTGACAGCGCCGCGACTGCGTGGTGCGGGTGGTCGCCGAACGTCGCGCCTGGAGGTGCGGTGAAGGAACGTATGGTGTAGCCTTCCGCACAATTGACATGAACACTCCGAGTCACACTCTTGCGTCGTATGGGTGAGACTCAGGCAATTGAGGCAGTGTCCATGTGCCTGGGCTACCCGCTGACGTTGACTGGGTTGCATGGATTTGAAGATGCTACAGTGCTGTAGCCGGTGTGAGCGGCGACACAGCGGACATCGGGTGCGGTGCGGCTCCGGTTGCACCAATGGCGACGCTGGCGGTGGTTGTGCTGTGTTCCGCGCGACAGCTGTGACAGTTGTTGCAGCGGTGGCTCGAGGCGTTGGAATCGGCCCAGTGCGCGGCACGTTGATAGCCGATGGAATGGTTCGCATTGGATTTGTCGGCATTTCCACGTCCATATTAATCTGTATGAAAAGATTAGATTTAGTATATGTTTGTGGCATATAATTGAATATGGGCAATTGTGCCACGTGATGTGGCACGCGTGGGTAAA